CTGCTGGGCTGCAGCTGTCGGCCTCGCGTGCGCGTGCGCTGTGGTGACTGCCTGGCCCGAGGCGGGTTCTTGTGGAGGCGGTCGGCGAGCTTCCAGGCTCAGGCCTCGTCCGGTGTTTTCTCTGGAGCAGGAAGGTGTTTCCTGGCCATGCGGGCGCCTCCTCCCAGGCGTGGCCTGGGACAGAGGAGGCCGTGGTCCTGGGGGGACACAGGCTGCGGACGTCCCACAGACGCAGAGTGGCAACTCGCCTTGGGTGTTGTTCCTGGACGTGTCCCCGCCAGTCAGCCCCACGGGGCTCCTGGGGCCAGCGCAGCGGGACGGGGTCTGGGGGACGGGACGCCTGCGGTTCCGGTGGATTCGCTGCCATTGGCTTTAGTTCTGTCTTTTAAGTGGGAACTCCGTCCATTCTGTAATGGGAAGAATGAGCCAGAAACCTTGCTGTAGAGAAGCCGGGCGGGGTCACGTGACTGTTCCAGTCACACCTGCGGGGCACCCTCGCCTGGGCCTGCGCGGAGCTGCGCCGTCTCTGGCACCCACACCTGGGCCCGCTCTGACCTGGAGGGTGGCCAGGCTTTCGAAAGTGAGCTCAGGTGCAGGGTTCCTCCCGCCTCGTTCCCGAGGACGTAGGGCTCTAGAACATTCTTACCCGCTTTCTTGATTTCCGGACTTTCCGGGTCTGGTTCCTGCTGGGAGAGAGGAAGGCACTCGGTGTGTGTGAGCACAGGTTTGAGGCGCAGCGGGGCTGTCAGCCGGCACGTGCCGGGCGCGGAGGTGCCGCAGACACGGACGCGGCCCGGCACAGCCGTGAGGAACCTCCCTCTGCGCTCCCAGGAGCTGGTGGCTTCGGGGGTGTGTGCCTCTGACTGGCCCTCTGGCTTGTCCACTGTGAAGACACACAGAGCAGAAAACTGACCCCGTGGACAGTCGCCACTTCGTCGTCCCTCGTTGTGACCCCCCTGCCGTGAGGAGGGTGTCTGCTCTCAGTTTGGCCCACGGTCTGGCGTCTGCCGGGTACCCCGCGAGGTCAGCGTGCCGGCCGGGCGCCTGACTGCTTCCTTCTCTCCCAGGGCTGGTACATCGTGACCTACGCCTTGGGGATCTACCACCTGAACCTCTTCATCGCTTTCCTGTCTCCCAAGGTGGACCCGTCCCTGATGGAGGACTCAGGTAGGCGCCGCCCACGTGCTGCTCGGCCGCTCTGTCCTCCGGAAACACGCCCCCTGTGAGCCCGATCTGTGTTTAAGACGGGCCTGGAGCCGGGTCATGGCGTTCAGGTGCTCGTGGAATGACCATGAAGCCCCCGGACAGCCGTGTGCCGGGTGTTCCCTCTGCATCCTGATGTGCAGGCGAAACCCAGGCACCGGGCTGTGTAGCTTGTCGAGGCCGCATGCGGAGGGCGGGCAGGGTCTGCTCCTTCCGAAACCGCCAGCCCGGCTTGCAGGCACCTCACGTAGCCAGAGCTTCCGACGGCAACGGGGCTTGTGATGGCCACCAGGCCAGAGCGCCGGGCCCGCTCCATGGAGGGTGGAGCTCTGGGTCCCAGGCCCTGGGCTGGCAGGTCTTGGCCCCACTGCTCCGGCCGTTCCTGGGCAGGGAGGGCAAGTGCCGCTGGTGGGCAGCGGGGAGGGCGAGTCCCTGCCCCAGCACCTGAGGACACCCTCGCTGGGGAGAAAGCGCCGGCGTGTCCTTGGCTGTGCAGTGCTGACCCGGAGCCCCGACTCTTCTCTACAGACTATTGGATGGAATATGAGAGGAGCCCACACCCCACGAGATGTGGCCTTGGGGGGAGGTGGGGAGAACCTGAGGCCACCCCGTCTCCCTCCTGCTCCTTTGTGTGGTGCGGGTGGTGTGTTCCTGAGCTTAACTCACGTGTAGTTGAATTTTTAAGCAATTGTAAAATATGTGCAAGTTCTTTAAAAGGAGTTCTCACTTGAACTTCCTGAAATAATGAGTTGAATTCTAACTTGGCTGAAGGTCCCGCCTGGCCTTGGCGAAATGACACGAACCTGCTTCACGTTAGGCCTCCTCCTTCCAGAGCGTCAGGGGGAGCGTGTCAATGGGGTCGTGGAAGTAAAGGCAGCGACTGCGCTTTTCCTGACCCCGTTCTGCCTTTCAGATGACGGCCCCTCGTTGCCAACCAAACAGAACGAGGAGTTCCGGCCGTTCATTCGGAGGCTCCCAGAGTTTAAGTTTTGGTGAGTGAACCCCTAGCGCTGCTTGTCCTCGCGGCTGGTCAGTGAGCCTGGGAACAGACCGGGTTGGTTCGCGTTAGCCAGCAAGTTGGACTTTTCAGAGAAATGAGTGTTGTCCTCCTTTGTTTGGAACATTTGTTCCCCTGCAGCAGGAGCGCGTGCTCGTGGGCATGGCTGGGCCCAGGGCCCTGGGGGACCGCTGCCCAGTGGCCTCTCCCAGTTGCTGGTTGAGGCCAAAGCTCTTTGAAATGAGCAAAGAGGTTGCTTTTGGGCAGAGCCTCCCGGTATGTTGCAGACTTGCCCCCCAAAGGGTGGGCTGCGTAACAGTCTCTGTCCTGCTACACGCACGGCACCCCTTCTGGTGGAGGCAGCTGCACCAGCTCCTGTCCGCTCAGGTGTCCTACGCACTTGGGGCTGGGCCTCCTGGGACCGGTGCTGGGGCAGCTGCGCCCTGGGAAGTGCTGTGCTCTGGGACGAGGCTGGCTGGTACCCAGATTCCCTAGAGGCGGTGACATCTGTGTGAGGCGGTGACGGGAGGGTGACAGGACAGGTAACTCCACTCTCGGGGGCATGGGGGCTCTGTGCCCTCTCTGTCCTGTATTTGTTGGATCAAAACCCTGAAGGAGTGAGCCACCACATCTTTGCTCTGTATTCTGGGCGTGTGGGGGACTGAGCATGACATGGGGGGGGGGGCGCCTGGGAGCCCCGAGGAAGCTGGCCTTTGCCCTGTAGGAAGGGGAGCCCAGGAGGAGGTTCAGTGGGGCCGTGGCCGGGCTGCACGGTGGAGCCCTGGGAGCTGCCTGGCCCTCGTGGTCCCTGGGGAGCGGCGTCGGCACCCTCACTGCAGTCAGACTGTGGGAGGCGGAGGACACAGCTGCGTGCGGCCCGTGTGCACGCGCTCACCTTCCCTCCCCCCATCAGGCACTCGGCCACCAAGGGCATCCTGGTGGCCATGGTCTGCACCTTCTTCGAGGCGTTCAACGTCCCGGTGTTCTGGCCCATCCTGGTCATGTACTTCATCATGCTCTTCTGCATCACCATGAAGAGGCAGATCAAGGTACCCCTGGGGGACAGCTGCGTGCGGCCCGTGTGCACGCGCTCACCTTCCCTCCCCCCATCAGGCACTCGGCCACCAAGGGCATCCTGGTGGCCATGGTCTGCACCTTCTTCGAGGCGTTCAACGTCCCGGTGTTCTGGCCCATCCTGGTCATGTACTTCATCATGCTCTTCTGCATCACCATGAAGAGGCAGATCAAGGTACCCCTGGGGGCGCCGAGCCCGGAAAGGCGATGCCAGCTGCGCGGCCACGGCGCGT